GGCAGTAGGTATGACGACTGCAAAGTTAAAATGAACATACTATTCATAAGCTTTTTTCCAGGAAAATTAGTTGATGCTGTCGTGACCTCCACTACATCAACGATTTCGGTAGTTTAAGTGAACTCACTGTCAGGCTGCCTCATCGACAACCGCACGTGACTTATCAAACCCAGTTCATCTCACCACCAATCCGTCTGGACTGAATTGATTTTTCTGGCGACATAGAACAGTGCTGTTGGAATCTCGGAGAGGTGAGATGAGGGCACAAATCTAAACCACTGACCTGGACGAGTGATGATTTTGCGTTTATGCAAATCCACAAAATAAGTGAAGTCCGTGTTTTATCCCAAGAAGAAACACTGCCATTCTGATTACTCCCGGTCAAAAAGAGCACATCAGGCACGGAACGAGAACGGACTAAATGCGCGATATTTTGAGTTGCTTTACCAGGTCAGCACAAATCAAGTACACACCCCTAAAACACTAAGGCGATCGATACTCACGAAGTTGACGAAAAACCGATGAGAATGGGCTGCTGTCTTCCATAGAAAATTTGAAATCCCACTGCAGCATCAATCAAGAAATTGCATCATATGTTGTATGCTCCTACTCGAACAACTCCGGTCCGGAGCGTGACATGCCGTGTCCAGGGCATGACGAGGTAAAATTTGACTATATGGTTATTTTTCGCCGCTTGTAAGATCGAAACTGCAGCTTCCGACAGAACGAAAGTAACCTAGATCTACGCGACTATAGAATCGAGGTCATTACGGAGATTATTTAGTTGAGATAGATGTTACTCCATCGTTAAACGTGAAGGTGCATCGTAGTCCACGCCTTCCCAACCGGAACAAGCGTTGACTTCTGAAAACAATCTTCATTTGTATTTATATTGGCGACAAGGCTGAGCTAAGCCACTCTCTTCGGTGCACATCTGTAGTTTGTCAACGAAATTTTGTCGTTTCACGAATCAAGATAAGCTGTGTGCACATAGAAAACTCAAACATACAAAAAGCTCACTGGGAGGGAAGGATAGACTGCTCCACGTTTGCGGATAGTTTATAGTTCATGTGAAATTCACTCAGTCGAACAGGGGGCATTAGATGACAGATAGACCGAGATAAGTGCAACCAATTCCAGCAGTCTATCAAAAGAGGGTATGCACGAATGCACTAACACGTTGCAATCGGGACATTTGCTATGTGGTGACAACCAGGTTGTCTTAATTGGTCCATCCACCAGGCCTCCCACATCCCCTTTGTCTATTGTGATCACACGGTGTTCTAATCACAACCTGAATTGGGGCATGGCAGGCTTGCTGTTGAACGATTCCAGTTGCTATGTAACACGGTTGGTATGCCCCTCCCCCCGGATGTTAATGTTAAAGAGTCATATCACCACCCATGACTCAAAGTCTATGAATCAGTCATGAATTAATCGTTTTCATACTCACGATAGCCAAGGTCGATAGTTAAAAGACATTCTTTTCCCATAAAAGTGACCAAATCTCCCTATTTTCCCGATTATTTTCATAATGTTTGAATTTTCAAATATTCGCTCCAGGAATAACGCACTCTACAACTCTGACCATAGTTGATCCTGATCGGTTCGTTTCCTCAGAACTCTGTACTTTCGAGCTAATTTTCAAGGTTGTTGTTGGCCAATCCCGAAATTGTATATAAACAGATGAGTTGCCCACAGCAATTGCCTTTTGGGTCGAGCCAAATATCTATCCTCTTTTGGGACCTACCCTCCGTCTGTTGGGTTCGGGGATCGTACTACTTTCGCTGGGCTTTCTCCCCGTTCTCTTGAGAATGGCGCTGAGTACTGCAGTTCGTGTTGTATTCACTTGGTCACTGTGTCGTTGCGGTCCCTGTTGGTGATCAGTTCCGTTTGGGTCACAGTTCATGCTAGTTGGGTCGTGTTGTTATCCGAACGCTACTGCAAAGGTTCATCGAGGTTTTTCATGTTACTTTAGCATATCAGTCAGTGAGCTGGTCTAGCTAAATAAGTAAACGAACGGATTTGTCTGTACATAGATGAGGACGAAAAATAGGTATTAATAAAGCAGTTGAACTGGGTAGTTGGGTCAGGGGTCTTTCATTTCAGTTTATGGTAAACATGCTCTCGTTCAGGTTAGGACCGACAGAAAAAGGTTTGAATTTGAGCACGTGTGTGTGTGAAACTTTAATTATTTTTAACAGATAAGGCCACTTATTTACATTTTCCGAGGAACACACACTGGGCTATACCCTGTATTCACCAGGACCCGTTGTTCAGTTATGGTCACAAACATCTTTAGTCCAGGGTCATTGAGTGGCNTGAGTGGAAAGTCATATAAGGCTCCATTCGGATAGGAGTGGGATCGAGCTGAACTATAGTGAAGCATCAGATTGGTGACGGTGACAGATTTCGAACCTTGAACATCATAGCGCAAGGCAAGTCAGTGTCATCGATTTAAACCGTTACTACACCAATGTCTGACCAGTTCAGTTATGGGTTATCGTAGTTTTATGCTGTTGTCATGTTCCAATCCCATTGGATTACAAATACGACAATAATTTCAACAAATACTGCTGTCCTTCAGGTTCACGCAGAACGCGTTCACGGTCATGCGCGCACCGATGCGTTTGAGTTTTGCTGTTTTGATCGCTATCATAGCCTAAGCCATCGTTATCGCATTATGTCCCGCCAAGCACGGGATGGGGAGAGGGACAACCGGGGATCAATAGCACAAGGTCAGGTGAAAATATGTTGGTATGCGCTAGGTGATTTCTCCTGCATGAAGCAAGTGACTGTGTTTCAGTCGACCCGACCGATTGTCCAGTCAATCAGAGATGCGCAAATTTGGAAATGAGGTTGCTTATGATTCAGTGTATGAGGCACCTGTAGTGCGATTACTCCATTGTTTCACATCGTCTTATCACTCTCACCTGTGACCTGAAGCAAATAAATTCCCTCTGACCACCACTGCCATCTGATTGGATCATTTTCCGCGATTTGCGCAACTTGGAATCCCTCAACCCGACACGAGATTCACTGATCACCGGTTCATAATGTTTGTTGTCACCTATGTGATGATCTGTCGTTCGGGTTAACTTCGTAGACCTCGTGTCCCTTGCTACAGCTGAACCATCCGACCGATCGATAAATGAACCTGATCGATCGTGTGATTGTCGGGTCGGCATAGGGGGAGGATAAGTAATGAGCCCGATGCTGTTTAAGTGTTGCTAGAGAATCACAACAGGCGTATCAGTAGTGGAGCTATGCGCCATGTGAGAAATTCGGAATGGAGAAAGTTTAAGCGATGATGACACTGGACCAATGCTTGACTCGTCTAACATACAGGCACTATTTTTCTAGGCGGGTTCGCTTAACGGATAATCATAATAAAGGTTTGAACTTGTCTGATGTACGGACTGTAATATCCACTAATGTAGGCCCACGCAAAACTCCCCTTGTTTTTTCCCAACCGGCTGTTTTCGCTTTGAACGATCTTGCTATGACAGAGATAGATTTTTCGGAGAGGATAAATATTATAGAAAAATATACATTTATTTTATAAAAGTTGTTCAATATTTTTTTCATCCTCTTGCTTGTATAGCAAAATACGGCGAAGATAGTTTTCTTCCACCTTCAAACTAGTAGCAGTTTGAATATTTTCACAGTGTGCGACGATAATCTGTTCTAGCTCCCCGATTGTTCTCGGTTTTGGGGGAAAAAACGGTCCGCTTTAGATATCCCCACAGATGGAAATCCTAGGGAGACAGATCCGGTGACCTTGGAGGTCATTCCTTTTGTCCTCCTCGGTCAGTCCTTCTGCGGTTAAATTCCGAATCGAAGAAACGTCTCACCACCAGTGCATTGTGGCAGTGCACCGTTATTTTGGAACCAAACTGTAGTACCAACTTCAATTTCTATAAGCCGAATGGCAGATAACTCATTATTGTATAACATTCGCAGGTATGAGACACCTTAAAAAATGTTATAAGCAAAATTATTCTTACCTGTTACGTTTCCGTTGTCAAAGTACGGCCAGACAATTTTGCCGTGCATAATACCGTACTAACACCTTGGGACTATGAAGCGAATTTGAGCCAGTAAAATGTTTTGGGTTTTCGATAGCCCAACGAATGGAGCTTATTAAATTTCCGTTCACATGCTTATGCGACAGAGCCCATGATCCAACTCAATTTAACTCCTCTCAGCGGGACTATTCTTGCGACCGTAAACGGTTGTGCTTTGGCGACCACAGTTTTCACAGATGAAGCCACCACCACCTAATTGTACCACATGTGTGGTCCTGTGACGTTCTTCGAATGGCCGTAGCTGCTTCTGTGAAAATAGGATATGTTTTTAATAAAAGGAAGTAAAATTTATTATTATTATTATTATGGTTATCAAAAGCTGATACTAATTAGAACTCATAGACCATTTCCTGGAGCCCGGCGATAGTAGAACTTAAATTTACGGCTGTATTGTCGATGCACTGACCACAAACACCTGTTTACTGCCATTTTTATCGGGCAAAAGGCCTTGAGTCTGGCTTCTTCTAACTGGGAATCAAAAATATTACGCTTCCTCGTCAATTTATTAAATTTGAAGTTGAAGCAACCGAAGCACAAGTAGAGTGAATCAAAAAAGTGATTCCCCGGGGAAACCAAGGTTAGTCTCAGCAGACTCATCTCTCTTTTATTGCGAGCACCATCGTGACCTCCATACAGACTATGAATTCTTCAACATGATTTTTTCTTTGCATACTGTTAGAGTGACATCTGAAGCACCAATACATTGTAAAACACCCAACACAATGTGATGAAAACCCTGTCATTTATCTCATCTCTGTAGTCATTGGTCATTGGAGAACACAGCAAAATTTGAAACGGGACTCTGATAAGTGGAACAAATGTAATATAGGATATGTTTTTCAGAAAGGACACCGGACGTTCCATAGTTCATCCATCACACAGTTGGTGGTAAGGTTTAATGTGAGTTGAATCCTATTCAGGAAGGAGGTTGTCATCGATTTCTTCATCTGCAAATTCGTCTTGGATTGGTCTAGATCGAGCAGCTGTTCGAGGACGCTCTGCCGCCGGACCCAAAGGATCCACGTAATCTACGCTACCGTTCATGGTGGCCTGTCGTGTAGACTCGGAGCTGTCTTCCGGTTGACGAGGTAAATTCGTCACCGATGAACGTGACAATGGTCCGCGGGCGAAACCGCGTTTGGCACTGCCTTCCCGACTGTCACCTGTATGAGAATAGGATACAAAAAGCAGCAAAGTTGTAGATCGATGTTGTGCATGAAATTTCGCACCACAAAATGTCAGCCATCACGAACGTGTTTCCTTCTTTTTCTTCAAATAGCCATAATTGACTCCTGTCATCCGGAAAAATCAGATTTTTAAAAGTAAGAATGAATAATGTAATTTATTGACAGTATGTAAGCGTACAGATGAAATCATACGTAAAAATTGTCTGGTTCAGCTGTTTCTAGGTATCTATGCATTGATCACGATACCAGAAGTAGGAGAGCTTAAACAGAAAACATTCATTTGGAATACTATTTATGTCAATAATAAACATCCTAGACCGTAACTTAGCCCAAGGACAATAAGATGTTACTCATAAAATTTTTACTGATTCACTTAGCATCAGTCGAAAGCCTCGGAAGCACCAAGAAAACAGTGTATCTTTGTTGCGGATCACCCACTGTGCAAAGCACTCAGATTTTTCTATATTCGGATCCGGGTACGATGGCTTAGTAGCCGATACATGTAAATTAATTTTAACAATTAGTTTATTCATCAAGGTTGGTCTGCTTTGCAGTGATATTCTAGCGGCCTCGCTAGTCCAAACGATTCCTGGGTAAAACCTTTTCAACGAACGGACTACTCTGGGTAGCAGAAAAATGAGTTTCAGTAACTTTATCAACTGAAAATACTTTCACCGGGTTTAGACGAAATAACCGGTCTGTAAAACTCACCTCCACTGCTTGCACTGGCTGAATTCTCTCGACTGCCCTGAGTGCGACCCGCGCTAGCCACATTAAAACTACCACGACGGTTACTGGCGGAGAGTTGGCGCTGTTCCCGAGCCTCTTTAGCTTTCTCTGCTCGTTTCAGACGATTTGTGTATTCTTGCGCCTCCGGAAGACCCATATCGGCACTAAGCCGGACCAAAAATCGTAGGCCTAGAAAACACAAAACAGGCAAAAATTAATCGAATAACCTACACTGAGAAAAGAAATATCCGATGATTTCTAGGCCGGTGAAGAACAGAATTCCGGATAAATTTTCATTATATTACCAATTCATTGAAACCAGTGTGCGGGAAATAAATTTCACTGTCTGAATCGAGTGTAAATTTGAGTAATAAATATATTATGGTACTCTGTGAACAAAAATTAACCACTCCTCGGTGCGTAAATTTTATTTCGTGTTATGCTTGCAATACATCCCGAAACGTAATGACTTATATTACCCGTTGAAATTGATAATAACCCGAAATCTTACTATGTTTTTCATTGCGTTCAGAAAGAATTTCAATAACGTTCCTATTCGCTGTAGTGTACGTACGTATGTATTTTTGTGCCCGGTAGATTTTTATGCGTGATTTGCGCCGGTGGAGTGGAATGTTTCATGGTGGTGCTTAATGCTATATAGGCAGTCCTTATGCTCTTAAACCATTCTATTGACGAATGGTTGCGATTTGTCGTTATGCAACAAGAAAAATCTGGATAGTTGTAATTCATTGTCAGTTGTATCCGGAAATCGCAGGGTTTTTTTTCTGTTTTAGGTTAAGCAATGGATGAAGTTCATTTTCCGACTGAATGGGATAAAACATCAACAGTGAGTGCACTTGAATGTTCCTGATTTCTTGTGCTGGACAGTTCATTGTAATAAACCGTCCTTTTGGAGGGATAAGAAAATGTTCAGACACGCTAACTCGTTGTGTCCAGTGTACGATTTATCTCTGAATGAACTCTGCTGATCTGTTGTAGTAAACTACAGATGTAATTCATATATCTACTGTCTGTATAAAACCGCATCTTTTTACCCAATCGAATTGGTCGTTTGGGTGCGCTTTGGATCTCGTGCCACTCGCTATCAGCATAATTAGGATTGGTTACATCGCGGAATCAGCGTGCACCCTGAAAACTGCTTTGTTCTGGGACAGACAATCAGAAAATCAATAGGTGAACTCACGTGATTAACCGGAACCGCCTACCAATCAAGATGGTTGACAACAATCCAGTCAATCAATCATTTGATATATGCATTCTCCTACCCTTGCTCTTTCCTATAACTAACCATGATTTTCGCACAATAAATGAACTCCTACAAGCTTCCAGTTTTGTTCTATTTAACTACCTGTAGAGTTCCTATTCGCACTAGCGAACGTTACCGAAAGACGATTCTTTGAGATTTCAGTACTGAGAAGATCCTGTGAGGATACAACAGGTCATACCTAACAGGCAGTAGATGCCCATTTCCAAAGTGGATCAGATCACGGGATGAGGATTAAAATGGAATGGCAAAATTACTTTTCCAAATGAATGATCGAGATAAGGATCGCTTTTAGTTTTCTTAGTAGATATTAACAACTATTAAGTTCAATCAAGCTGAATGCTTCAATCCTCTGAATTCCAGAAAAATGAAGAAATAAGAATCGGATATCGGTTTTTTTGAACCGAAGAACAAAACTCGCATTCTATGAGGAGCGTGGATATAAATTTCTACGGTAGAAAAATTTAGTCCGACAGGAATAGAATGTTGTCAGTCAACGGCCGGTTATTTTTCACACGCGCAATCCACCATTGTCGGATAATCTAATTACCGTTGCGAAACGGTCTGTGATAGCTGGAACTCTCCAAATCGGCTTGTTTAGTTACGAGTGGTAAACAAACTCGGGCGGTTCTATGAACTGGGTTTGGCCGAATAGATACCAATGAGGCCTGAACGAAGAGTTGACTTTCACAACCGGATATCACATGCGATAGTGGTGATCCAAAGTTTGGAATATATATATAGCCCGAAAAGTACTACTATGACCAACATGTTTTTGCGTCATCTTCACAATCGCTTCACGAATATTTTGCGTTACTGAAATGATCAAAATATCACAGTATATATATACATATATATATATATATGGTGCCAACGCCATAACAATATTAGCAATAACAATAACGAGGGGAGTTGGTTGGGGTACAGAGTATAGGGAAAGAGACGTAACTCTCAGAATAGAAGACTACGAATAAGTGGGATAAAAATTATTTTTTGGGGTGTTTCACCGTACACTTTTGAAATATTTTTGTTGTCTGTGGATTTTACGGGGCACGGGATTTCGACAGGCAGACCGTACAGCATTCGCACCACGGACTTCTATTCCGGGCCATATCTCTCAGCGTCTCTAACCAACGATAATCCCCATCCCTTGGGCCCAAACCTGAAAGGTGGGCTGCACCAACCGAAACCAAAGTTGAAGCTAGCTTCTTCATGCCTCTAGCCCATGTCATGGTCTGACCGCCGCGTCGCTTCTTTCAGCCTTGCCCGGTACGTGCGAAGAGAGCACAAAAAGGTAGTCGATGGGCAGGCATACGCAATATGTAAGCAACCCACGGGGGTGGTGTAGAGCGAATACTTCCTTTAGAGAACTACTATCCGCACCCAACACACGACGAAGGACATTGAGTGATATGGCTGGGTGTCGTAAACAGTGACGTTCATGAATCTTCTCAATTTCTCTGTATCATTAGTCCACTGAACTTTTCAGTTTTCTCTTCGATCTTGTCTTTCTCCTAATGTTCATCCAAATGGTCAGCCGAAAGATAGCAACCAAAACCAGCGCACGATAGTGCATGGTTAACGGTTGTACAAACTGAAAAACTGAAAACGCTGGGCGGATTTGTGTTTGGTGTTTTTATGTAAACCACGGACTAAATGCAAGAGTGACAACAATCTACCGTTCTCGATAAGCGATATCCAGCAACTTATCCTTGTGAGCCTGGTGCAAACTGTTGTCATTGCGCAATTGGACAGTCACCATCAAGTTTACCGAACAATTCAGCGCTCATGCTTTTATCATCCCTCTCATGGCTATCGAACAGACCACATGGAGTATTTAAAAAATAGCTATAAGGTCTAGAGGCATTGTACAAGAATTGCATGGACCGTCTGTGTGATCGGTCGGTGGGTCTGTTAGAGCGTGACGCTGTGCGAGTAGTGGCGCAAACACCGAAATATTCAGACCCGTTTTCTATCTACAAACCTGCATGCACTATAAAATAAGTTGCTCCGTTGATACGAATCAGCTATATATATATATATATATCAATTACCGCGAGAACTGCATTTTGAAATTCTTTAAGGGTGTATTTGTTTCTCCAAGAGATCTGATACATGTAGGTGTGGATTCCATCGGCATCAGTAAATTCGACTGATAGCCTCGAGGGACTTCCGTTATAATCAGTGTGCATGGAGTTGATTAGGTGATATGGTTGAACAAGCCCATGATATGGTTGGTAAGCGAACAGATATTGATAAAAATCGTTTTATTTTCTGGTCACTGATAATGATCATCGGTGTGTTCTAATACTCTTCCCCTCTTTGTGAATATTTGTTCGCGCACGAATGTAAGTGATTGAACTGCCATAGACTGCAGTGATTTGGGCATGTGTTAAGCATTTCACCAGATGGATTCCTTTTGCTTACCATTTTTGTCGAAACAGACGGTGGTTGGAAGAAGATTAACGGTGCTCAAACTGTAACTCTATATCAAGTAGGTCGTGTTCGGAATCTTGGAGATCAGCCTAATCAATGGTTGGAGACGCGTTATGCGACTGTCACAAACAATCGCCGTTATGCGTATAATCACTTTCTACACAAAAATGAGTTTATCTTGATTCTGATTTTACGTGTGTTGTACAGGTTTTTACTTTACTTGTACTGCCTATCCAAATGAGAAAACGAAAGATAACAAACTAAGTTGGCATAGGAAATTGTTAGATCCATTGATTCACAAACGAAAACGTCAATTGGAACAGCCTCGATATGCAACGAAAGAAAAACGAGTCTCCTCTCTAAATAATAAATGATAAACAGGTTTCGAAATTCACTGAAACCATTGGGGGGAGGAGAGGGCAATCGAAACGGCAAAACTCACAATCAATATTGTCGGGGAATTTCTTGTGCATTGCTTTGTATGTTTCCAAAGCCTGTTGATAATTCCCACTTCGACGATGACAGGATGCGATCATCAGGAGCCATTTGGTTTGATTCGGTCTGGGGATGAAATAAAACCATTGCGGGCGTTTAATTTCTGATCGTGACCGCATGCACGCATTCAATCAGCCAGCCCACTGCTCACATCAATCAGTGTTCAACAGTTCAACCCAGTTCATTCGCAGTTCAGAACTTTGAACGTTTGCTGTTTGATCTTGGGAAACCTGTTAAAAAGCTAACAATTGGTTACTCATTTCATGTGATTTGTTCTGTAATACGGCACGTGTGACACATGTGCTCTCGCTGTGTTCCCTCAGTTGACAGAACTCCATTATTCAGATAATCCAATGCATCAAAAGTGACACGAAGCAACTCAATGTGCTTACTAAAAGCCCTGCAGTGTAATAACCAATAACAGCCAGTTTTCTGAATGTCCTTAGTTTAGAAGATATCGCCACCTCAAGGATGGTCATACCAAATTCCAGTACTTCTATCCAGTCGATTTGATGTCCGCTGAGAGAGACACTGAGTAGATAAGATTATTCTCGAAAAGGAAAAGTCACCGCGTTTTTGAAGTGAAATAAACCAAACAATGGGTGCGCTTGTCGCTTAGTTCACGCTACCTGGTTGAGGATGCTCTCGATTTGAGTTGACTGAGAGAACCGTTTGAGGCGGACCACTTCGCTGGTTATTTACTTGCTAGGATAGTGTATTCATATCCCAACTAAACTAATCGGCAAGACGCAGTAATTAACCGTATCATCAAATTTGAGTCACTTCAAATTTTTCCGTGGATCGCCCAAACGAATTTTATTTGCTGGGATAGCGAACAACTATTCTCTAGCATTCTCTTTTCAAACAAACTAACTATCTCCGACGCAATTACTGATGGTGAAAATTTTATTTCTATGATTACTTTTGTTATGATCGAAGTTTGCATTGGTTGCATTGGTTTGTTATTATATAATGATATATGATGTTGAATCACTTCAAGAGATAACCTAGAATTGCGCGCCATGGGGGGAAGGCAATTGTGTATAACAACAATATCTTTGTAATTGGTGTGATTTATTGCAGAACTATATCAAAACGTCTCAGACTTACGCCGAAACTACTCAGAGTTATGTAACCTGATTCCCCAAATTTGGCTGTTTTATTTTCCCCACTTATGTACCTTTTCTTCGTTCACCCCTGGTTATTTTGGTGCCGTATCTGTGAGGATTGGTGTCATATATATATATATATATATATATATATATAGAGAGAGAGAGAGAGAGAGAGAGAGAGAGCGTGCGCTATGCCAAAAGCGTAGGCGGCGTCCATACTTGGGTTCGAGTTCAACCCGGGCTACCGAACTTTTCACAATTTCAGTAAATACTGGCAATTTCTTCATGAATATAAAGCGGCCTGAAACTAATTTCATGAGTTCATGGATTGATCGTCCACTGGAAACTTAATGAATCTAATTTTTTACTAGTCTATGAACTCCTTAACGCGAAACACCCGTCACAAGCCTGTTCTGCTCGAATACGGCGCGAAAATCGAATCAATTATGGTATATCTAAGTGTGACAAAAGGCGGTACGGAACTGACATCAGCGCGTCATTTGATACTTGAAGTTACACCCATGTTATCAACGCATATGAACAACGGAATTTCATATTGGATCAGAACCCTCACACTTTTTATTTCGTCTCATCAACGTATGTCAGAGTGGCGTCTGGTCGTAGAGCCAGGTGAATGACGGAAACCCTTGATTTCACCCACTGTCTTTTCTTCTCACATCGCATGCACCCAAGCCTGATTGAACTGATTTGCATTTGTGTTGTAACCACGAGGTAATCCGAACTACCACCGCAAGTTGGCTGTTTGAGTCACCTCAAACAAAACAGTCGGCTATGGGACAAATGCACCGGGTTTCGAACAGACCCAACCCCTGTGGAGAGGGAGTCATCAATATTTGATTAATGTTGCATTACTTTAAATATTTGAACAAATCATTGGGCAATTGAGTTTAAGGAAGGGAAACGTTGATCTACGGTGAGACAGATAGTGGTTATTGTGTGATTTGAATACAGATGGTGAGCTTTAGAGAATCACCGATAAACTGGTCATAGTGTTTAGCTTGCACCAGCATATACATGATCAGGAAATAAACATTGAGCGTAAATGTATTTGAGCACCGATTCATACTCTGTCAGGGTTTGGTAGATCATCACTGTTGCAGGCTAGATTCACAGAACAGCTGACATTGAAGCCTCACGTCCACAGAAATTGAGACAACCGGTGCAGCCTTCTGATTAATTTTTGTTGAGGCAAATTGTTTTTGAGACAAGGCTAATAGCACTCAGTCTATGATGCCAATACACATTGGATATCTTGTCTTTGTTTTTTATGTGATGGTTTTGGAGATACCTGTTGAATCAGTGTATCGTTACATCACAGTGATACTGTTTGACATCTAATCATCTTTTGCCCCTAGCGAAACGCAACGTCCGCTATTCATCCCATCTTGCAATCGCAGCATAAATCGTACTGAAGTAAAAAAAGACACCACCATGATCGATGACGAAGTCAAACTGGTTCCAAGGACAATTAAGGCAATCAGAGTAAACTAACAAGGCACCTTTACGATACAAGAGTCTCTAAACTAATTGGCTACTGACGCATTTCTTCGGGGTTTAAACTCGGTCTGTTCGTGTTGCTAGTACGATTCGATTCCCAGTAAACGGTGCTGTTTTTTTTTTAAATCGAATTTGAACAGTCATAGCATAGTTCATAGGAATCGTTGACGCGAATCAATTCATGTAGAGGAGATGGTATTCGGTTAAAAGCAAGGTGGAAATAGTTCGAAAAAGAAGAATATCGACAGATGAAAAAAAAAACACAGTGTAACCGACAACCTTGAGCAGTACAGTTAGTTATGAGTGTGACTGGAAGTAGCCTCGCATATCGAATGACATCGAAATTCCCATAGGCCACTGTGTCCGGTTAGCTAGCGTAGGTCATTTTGAAAACAGTTCTGACCTATTGTTCGTTTCCTGTACTTTCATATCTTTAAAACTACCGGAATCGTTATCAAACAGATTGCTGATGGATCCGTGATCGGTTGGCCCGATCACAACCGGATTATGTGATTTGTGTGATGATCAACCGGAACAGTGGGACTATAGAAATTGTAATTGTTCGACTAGAATTATTCATTTCCTAGTAAACGTGTAAGCTGAAATTGGCAAGTTGTCAACTAAACTCGACAACAAACCATTCCACGAAAGCTGGTTTTGTCTTTCCTACATTGCGGGCGTGGAGCGAGTCAAGTATACGGTCAGGGCGTAAACAAGTATGGTTTCCGTGACCTTGCGATACATACACATGGTACTCGATGCTTTGTCTTTAAATTTGAAATTTTGGATCTCCACTGTGATGGCCTCTAAAGCCCCCTAGAGTTTACCTTCTATGATGTTTCACGTGTACAACGGTATCCCCGTATAGGTAGGACACATCGTTGACTCGGTTGGATCACGTGAATCACGGCCCTTATGGTGAAACAACCGGTCTGAAACATCAGCAGTAGTGAATCAACGGCATTTGATCTACACATGTGTTTCTATTTCGGTAAAGAAACTGGTGCTCCTCTGTCGGCTATGAATGAGGATAGTGCAAAAGTCAGTTTACGAGCGTAAAATGCAAACACCGGCATTGGTATTCTAGGGGATTTTATCCTACCGGAGGATAGATCTTTTTCCTATGTTCTGTATCCCAACCTTCCCTCCCGTTATTGTTATCGTTATTATTGTTTTGGCGTTGGCAGTCTGATTGTCGGCAAGCCGGAGTTATATTTAATACGGTGAAAAGTAGCATTCCCAATACCACTTATTATCAGTCAACCTTCTCCGATTGGCAGATATGATCCCGAGGGCTCAGAATTTGAGTAATGGATTTCATAAAATATATGCTGTAGTTTCTCATAAATTTATTTTTTTCCCATCTAGACTAGTACTTACTGCATGAGACTTGCTCTCTCGAAATAAGCGATGGCTTTTTCACAAAATTGCGATTCGATGTAATATGCTCCAAGCCATTCGATAACATCAAAGTTGCACGGGAAGTATTTGAAAGACTGAATAAAAACAAAACGGATAGGGTATGCGGAGAAGAAAACAGTAATATAGATGAGCAGTTAGTTGTATCTGGAAAAAAAACATTTGAATATATTACCCGTCGTATAAGGAGCCAAAAACATGCGAGTTAAAAAGCTGGAAAGCACCATACCACCGTATGGACCTTGTTCAGTATCAACAATAGTTCGAATTTATAAACGCTGCTAGGAATCGAGCCCAGGACTCCACAGGGGAGGACGCAAGAACGTTATTCAGTTGATCAAATTCTCTCATTTCATCTTGACGCAATAAGATGCAGCCCATCTTATCAAGTCCAATAGAAGAAACTGATCTTGGGCATAGATTACAAATATTACAGATACCATATGAACGCTTCTCAAAACACAATGCCAGATATTCGTAGTTCAATGAGATAAAATTCACACCTCATCATGAAATATTGAACGTAAAATCGATTTAGATTTTCTACATTCTTTGCTGATGTCTGATGCCACACTAGGACAACGAACTTCTTTAACCCCGTCAGAAATTGTTCGTGGTGTAGAAATTTGTCTATGTCAACTTTATTTACTTTCAAGCACAATTTGTACAGACAAACCAATGGTGTTGCCATGGGATCTCTCATCTCGCCCATTGTAGCCAACCTCTTTTTCCATCCAATCGAATCAAAGGCACTCTCCAATTGTGAAATACCACTACATTTATACGTAAGATACGTACTTGCGTACGTATGTCATTCTTAAGTCACAACACACACGCGTTTCTTGATTGTCTAAACAAACAGTGCAGCTCTATCAATTTCACAATGGAGTCAGAGGATGTGAACAGGGTCTTCAGTTTTCTAGACTGTCACCTCAGGGTGAATAACTCACGCAAATTTACCACTGGGGTTCACGGAAAACCGACAAATTCGGATAAACTCTTACGTTTTGAATCAGCTCATCCGCGATGAGTAAAACGGACACCTGGCAGTCAGAGTCGAAAAGCTTTGGAACGAAGACAATAACCGCCAAATGGAAATGAAACGCCTCAAAAGTGTTCCAAGACAATAACTATCCATCACTCTTGGTAAGATGCCAGCTAGAAGCAAACAAACCAATGATACAACCTATTGAGAAAACTGACCGTGTAGCCTCTATTGGTATTCCATCAGGCACTTCAGAAGCAATCAGAAAGGTTCTCGGTGATTTCAAAATACACACTTGCTTTCGGGTCGACAACACTCTGAAACGCCGTCTCATGAAAGCCAAAGATCCGATCGAATTGCAAGATCAAAACAACTGCATTTACAAAATCAGTTGTAAAGAATGTCCTGCAGAATACATTCGGCAAACCAGTAGACAACTAAAGACAAGGATAACCGAACGTAAGAGAAAAGAAAAACATCGGCCTACAGACAAAAGAACTCTGACAAAACTAGAACGAGACTCAGCGATCGCTCTTCACGCTATAGTCGAAGGCCCCACCATAGACTACAACAGCCCGAAAATACTCCAACTTGGATTTCGAACATGAACTGAACGCTTGTATGCCGAAGCTCAGGCCATTAACACCTACTCTGTATGTGTCAACAGAAACGATGGAATCGAGAGCCCGAGCATTTGGTCTACCCTTACATCCCTAACGCGTAATCGCGATAAAAGGTCACGGTGTCACTTGACCCCATCTGATAATGGAAGTTAGTATGACAAATAACGAATCATTCAGCCCACCACTACACATACGCAAACAAACGATGAAAAATCCCTTGACATATGATCCTTTCCTCCGAGTCATTTGATTGTAAAACCTGCCTTGAGAGAGGTTACCCAGGGAAACTGCGTTACCGGCGACTATAATTCCCTACCGATGTCGCTGTGTTATTACCATTATAACATTCACAGTAAAATCGATCAACTTAAATCTCCCCCAGAACTTCTCAAATCGGTCAATCAATTGTATCTTATCAATGTATTATTCAAAAATGAAGCTGTAGGTACTCGTTGAATCAATTTTATTCATCTGATTGTTGATGCAGTCAGTGAATTTATTTACTCCATCATGACCTAAATCAAGGATAACTTTTTTCAATGGGAACCCATAAATGAATTAGTTATGTATTTTTACCTAAATTTTTGATTTTGCGTCAAAGGGCAATGACTGATACATTTATGGTAGTCGACATTTGTATTACTGGACACAACACCTGTGGAAGAAAACAGCTGCGAAACCGGTTGTTGCTACTTGTGTGTGGGTGTCTGGTCTCTAGTGAGGAAATCACCCGTGCTTATCGTGAGGGCGCTAACCGACAGTGATTACATGTAGGGTGCATTCTTGTCTGGAATCATTCCTCTACCTCGTTGTGAATCACAACTCAGCTGGAAAAAATATCTTATTGAAAAAGATTTGCGTTTTTTTATTGATATAAATTCGAAACCTCTTGTTCTATTGATCGAATTTCTAATAAAAAAAGAGAAAATGAATATTGTGAGACGTAAACATCTTACTCGATCTCCCCAGAAATGACAGTGTAAAGTGGTGTGATATTTCTTTACAGAACTGTTTTAGTAAAAGAAACATTCGACTGGCGGGCACAGTGATCAAAAGCAGTTCAGTTCCACTACCAGTCCCAATGTAAATTGATTCATTGCGTCAGAAATTAGTGCTCACAAAACGGTACATTCAAACAGCAGTTTTTGAATACAGTCGCTGATGACATCTCACTTGGTTTGTGAATTTCGGATACTGACACAACCGAATAACGTATAACTGTGTAATTCCGTTTGACCTTTTTAAGAACCAACAAAACTGTACCAAACCATTTAATATACGATGTGATATCACATGGCATGGTTGATACTTAGAGATGCGAAAACAAAATCCACTAGTGGTAACGTCTGTTTGGATTCTGGAGCTTACACTTCACACACTTAGCCACTTCCTCTTAATTTAGAGTGGGCGTAGTCTCGCGGAATGCCTCGCTTGTATTCATGATTGCGTATAAGAACATTCTACTGTGTCATGATTTCGCTCATCTCATATTTGTTTGTTTTTCTGGCAATTAATTCCACCCGTTTGTCTTGCATTCAAACGAGTGCTGATCAACAAGAGGCTTTGTTCTAAACATCATACCCAGTAGATATTGAACGTGGAACTGGTCCAATTCGGCATTTCATTTTCGCATTCATACATCCATGTTAAATTGGAGAAGCGCGTTCACTCAGACTTACACATAAAACCAGAGGTAGACTGAAAATGAACGAAGGATATTACTTCAGCAGCGGTTCCGTTTTGTTTAGAAACAGAAATATTGCTAATAGTTCGACAAAAATCTAGGCTCTTTATTTTATACCAGCTGAATAGTTTTTGTCCTAGTTGGAAATCATCACAACGTGTTTATGGTGCCCTCATTAAGTTGCAAGCTCCACGGACGATCATCGCAGAGTTAAGAGCAAAACATAACACCAGGCATGCTAAGAATGCCCACAAATAGCATGGATATACTTTGCGGTCTTCTGCTTCAATAAACCTTCAGGACTCCTTTTGGAGAACTAATGGACACCACACATGATTGCAATTGTACATTAGTGAAACCCCAAAAGACGAACCTGGTTGTGTAGTATTTACCAGGATATCAGTTCNATAAGATGAAAAACATCAAATGATAGAATTCGATTATCTACTACTCTCTTGTGAAGAGAAGTCATACTCGGAATATTTCTGAGTAACTCAGTACCTCTGAGGCTGATAGTACGTTGTTCGAGATGAGATGTCCGAAAAAACCTAGTGCTGTAATTCCAGAAGACGGTGCTGGTCGAGGATAATCGTTTATTGAAGATGACAGTAATTTGGCATACATAACACAGAAAATCTCATAAGAAACATACCATCGCAGTTCCCGGCCGCACGACGGGTAATGAATGTAGCAATCGATAGTTATTCCATGAGATACAGTAATTTGCCTTCGGTGGTCTTAATTTTTGATCGTCGAAAGTAATCACCAAGTAAAGTAATCACCTACTACTCACAAGTGAGTAGTATGTCATAACACTAGTACTGCGTCTCGCAACAAGGTTGAAACAGAAGTACAATGCTTTTGAGATTATGGTTCACTCCTCTTTTTCTCTTCAAAGAACGAAATTCATCACGAAATTATATTAAACATGTCACTTATTTTGTCCAGAAAAAACCAACTTTTTGCACGTTTAAACTGTATTTTACCAATTTAGAAAACCAGCATTAGATCTCATCATTTACGACCCAAAATGGAATTAACTTTTAAGTTATTATTATTTCAGAGGCACAACCTGCATAGATTGGGACCTCAATGGTGAACTCACATCATAATAGTAGGAAAATGCTTGGGATTTGTCACCCTCTTGTTCGTAATTGTCACCCAACCGCTGGAGAAGGAAAGGGTCACTGGGAACCAAGCCATGCAATTGCATTGCCCTGAAAAATAAGCGAATAGTGAATCCTGATAGAGATTACTTATGTGTCATCATTGTCTGACACCTTCATTGATCAAATCGATATCCAATCAGTATCTATATTATGAGTAATCAGCAAACACTGAAATGACCCGACGTCTTATGCATTTCAATGGAAAAGAAATCAGACGATATTCACTCAAAATTTGGCTCATCTAAAATCTGGCACCCATTTGCATTTGGAGTTATTTACAGACCCTATGAATGGTGCAGGAAAATAATGTCCTAATCATCAACCGTTGATGATTTTTTGGACACCTTAGTACAGCCTGAAAATTCTGTTGCACTGCATCACGCAAACTTCAGTATTTTACGACTCAATCGCGATAGCTTAACCTCACAGCAATCATAGCTGTTATTGGCAAAACGATCAAATATGGAAATCCGCATCGGTACTGAAAAATAACCATTACAAAAAACGAAAAGGGATACTTTGGTGAACAGCACTGTCCATGTCTCATGGAAAGGAAAAATATTCCAAATAATGATTTTATATGCGGGATAGTTCCCGCAAGGAAAGTGCAAATTCACAACACTACTCGCTTGAGACCGCTTTCAAAAGCCACACATTCAACAGACAATTGTACACCCCAACCACTGACTGAGTTCCACACGTACCCATAGACCTACAACGCGTTGTATTACACTTACCATTCTTGAGCTTGTGTTGGATCTTCCAATTTCTCATAGATGTCCATTATTTGATAGACAACCGGGGCACTATTGCGCAGGACAGCATGCAGTTTGAAAAATGCGTCCAAAGCCTCCTCGTATCTTTCAGTTCGTTTACAAACAATGCCCAAATTGTACAATGCTTCCACACAACTGGAATCGTCTTGTAAAGCTTCCGTGTAGCAGTCCCGAGCTCGTTNGTGGAAATGGAAATCCTCGCGAAATCAATTAAAGCATGCAAACTTATCATTCGTTTCAGCGTCATAGTATTTCATTGATAATTTCATGATTATAAAACAAGAATACTATGACGACCCAAAACTGAATCAGTTTATGAACCATAGGCAACAAATAATCGGTTTTCGCGATTTACTAATTTTTCGGATTTGTTTTGTTCAAAAGGTAACCTTTCCGTGGTGAGTTCTTGTCACACACTCCATCATCACAAGGACTTTCAGTTTGGCTACGACGCCACAAGACCTTAAGCCCAAGTGAAAAATCATGCACAGTCTTAAGAGAGATGCCGCTACGGACGAAATAAAAGTTTTTCACCCCTAAAGTCTGGTAGCTGCTTAAACCAGTTGAAAACTAGTTCTAATAGGCAAATTTCTTTAGTTTTATTTATATTCATTATGAAAAGTTGTTTAATAATAAAATTAGTAGTTTCCGCCCAAAGAAGACGACAATAACTATGATCAAGTTCAAACTGAAAACTAAATATTTGCAAAACATGGGCTCTTGTCGTTCTCTTCTCCTAGTACATTATAATCTACCCCTGGCAGATTGATTAGTGTCAAAATTACATTTGTTCATCATTCCGTTTCAATATTTAGCATCGATTTTCTCATCCATGAGGCGGAACCTATCACAGAGAAAATAGCATCTCACAGGTTCACAGTAGGAGGTTAATACTATGGAGAAATGAATACTTATAATGCGTTGTTAATTTAGTGGCTGGGTCGGAAATCAGAGGTTTTATCAACACAAAATGTTCACCTGGATTAATAATGCATCCCCGACTGACGTACCTGCAGGATTATACCGATCGGCCGCCAATGCTTGATCAGCGTACCGATCTGCCTGGGCCAGGTCACCCTCGAGAAAATAGAGGAAGGAGAGATTTGTGGCCGCCGTGCTGGCCACACGAGTGTCTTTTCGTTCAAACGACTTCAGTGTTTCTATCGCCTGAAATAGCCCGTACACAAACACACAATTTAATGGAGGTCTAATTATGCGAACACTGGAAACCAAATATCTTTCTTTTGAAAACTACGAACACCACGAGAACAATGCTATTTGGCTAACCTTTGTATGCAAAGATTTCCCACCGTCCTAAAATGAAATTTCGTTTATTGATAATTGGTCATCGTGTTCAAATTTGGGCGGGTCATTTATGAGTGGCAAATAACTAGAATTGTTAAATCTAACAATCTAAGCCAAAACAAATCAGTGAACTTGGTTGAAAATAAAAACGGCAATATAGATTTAAAGATGCATTCTTGGTCCGCTGTTGACTATACGCCACTAAAATTTGTGCATAAGTGTGTCTGGGCAGTAAGGTAAATAATGGAAATCCATCAATTGGATCGAGGACTTGCTATTTTCGTCGAAGGCCTGTTTGAAAGCATATCTATGAAATTAATCAAAATGTCATGTCATGTCGTTAGTAACAACAAAGTACAGTGGTGTTTCAGTGCATGTCTGGGGGAACCGTCTGGTTATAAGATCGGACCAAACTGAACGATATCGTTGATGCCCAATTTCAACATGAAGTTCTGCTAGGACGCATTCGCTACTAATGAGCACAACTAATAAACCAACTGTAGTCATTGTGGTAGCAGTAGTAGTAGTAGTAGTAGTAGTAGTAGTAGTAGTAGTAATAAGTACGGAACTCGTAACACGAACCACGAAATAGGAATCACAGGACACGAATCAAGAATCACCTATCACGGACTGGATCACGGAAACACTGAACCGCAATGGCATTTGCACACAATGTCCCACGTAGCTGAGACACGAGAAAAAGGCCACAAGAAGGGTAGTTCGTTTATTGGAAGAAATGAGGGTGTTTAAACAGTATGTACAAAAGAAGATTATTGGTTATCCAGGCTTCCATCAATCGTACTGCAGTATTGCTGGCATAATTCTGCTTCTGTCTGGACTGTACCGTCGCGGAGTGGCTGGCACCATCTGCTTATGTCGTGTAGTCAGAAGCCGTGACACGTATGCGCGTCATTGACGTCACCTTTGAAATTTGACTGATCACAATTGTCTAAAAACTGCAACGCGCCGCTCCAGGGTAGGCCTCATCACGTAGGCCTGGACCACCACACCAACTTTCAAGGAAGGCAACGCTACTACACGTCGTTCCTTAATGGTGGGCTGTAACTGAACCTCAGGAGATAATACCAGACAGCAGATAGCGAGCATGATCCAGTAGGTCAATGCTGTCATGTGGTCAAATTTGAGCAATCGGGCATTTGTGGAGAAAGATTGCAATTTCTTTCAGTACATACCGGTAGATATATTATATTATTGTTCTGTGTACAAATCGTGCAATGTTATAAGTCTCATTACTTTTGTGTCGAACAAAGTAAGCTGATGATTCATCTAGCTATTATCTTCAATTTTATGCAGTACGTCACCTTTGACGTTATTTCTCAAAAGACAACAGTCCATGGACTGCATAACTATGCTAAAACGGTCTGCATTATGTGCAGATGAGATGAAAAACTGCTGGCAGATCAACCATTTCGATCAACAGGTCAAGCAAAAAACTGTTTCTTACACCTCCGAAAACCTCCTATGTTCACCATATGCACTATTTTGGCTTTGCTGACTAAATAAAGTAATCCAAGGACAACAGTCGATCATAGATTGATCGTTGCTACCACATGCCGCTTTGTATTTTGCACCTTTCTTCGTAGTTTAAAAACAATGTTCGTTCTGATTTGAACCAACTATTCTTCAGGCTTGGTTTCCGCGTACGATTCTAAGTTTATTCAGTCGACCCCTTACACTCGGAAACAATCGGCTAAAGTTTCACCTGAATTGGAGCTTAACTAAAGTGCATGTTCACCGCCTGGGTTTCGAACCCAAGATCCATGGCATGGAAGGTGG